GGCAGAGTTTTTAATGAAATTTAATTCGTACGCTGATTATAGTCTCCTGTTCTCCAATATTTTTATGCCCTCAGTTATTGCATCCTGTGAAATGCATATCCAAACGATAAGGTTTGCCCGTCTTTTTTCGAATAGATGAATATTCTCGTGAAAAATGTTGCGTCTTCTGTTGTGATAATGATAATATTCAATTTTCTCATTATCCATAAAAATTTATGTTGCTCAAAAATGTACGTGGTTTTCTATCCATTTCATTTTCTTATAAGTCTAATTCTTTAGCTCAGGGCTATTATGCTCATGCATCTCTTTATTCCGATCTTTAGTCTGGAGTTGCGATGAGACAGAAAATTGACGATATTTCCCCGTTAGTAATTTGGTATTTTCATCTAGCTGGTTCAAAAACATTGTGAATTCCTCTAGATTTTCTCATTTATATGGTCATAGTGCAAAATAGTCATCAAATATTACATTAAGATTCCTGGTTGTAGATATGCAGCTCTAACCGCCTCCTTAAATTTATTTTTTCGAATTAAGTATTGTTTTTCGTGACTACCAGTAAATCAGTTATAAGATGTATTCACCCAATTTCGATCGAATTAAGTATTGTTTTTCGTGACTACCAGTAAATCAGTTATAAGATGTATTCACCCAATTTCGTTTAGGTATTGTTTTTCGTGACTACCAGTAAATCAGTTATAAGATGTATTCACCCAATTTCGTTTAAGGTGATGAATGACTGGTAGAAATAGAATTCTCCCACAAATGATATGAGTTGAGCTGACGTTTTCATTGAATTTTTACATAGCTTTGCTTTCCCAAAAGTTGTTCTTATCCAGGGTGGACTGCAGTTTCAACCTCGCATTGGTCTTATCAACACCCTCAGCGGGACTCGAACCGCGACAGTGCAGGACGGTAGCTTGACACGCTAACGAATCGGCTACACTGCCCCGAGTGCCTTTCTGGACACAAGGCAAACGTAAATTTTCAAGGAAGGCCGGCCTTTTTTGTCATATCATATGCTAGAAAAGGTGAGGCTAGAGGACCAACCGATAGTCCTAACATCTGCCAAAAGACACGGCATTTGAGTGTGAAGTATGTGATCATAATTGTCAAGCTAAGCATCACTTCCAGCATCTCCTCTCGTACTGAAATTTCCAGCAGAGTATCGTTAGTGCCTGCCGATTCGGAGTGATTGCATACCTGATTTGGTATAAGAAAAATGTAGTTGAACTGCTTCAACTTATAGCATATAAATTATGTTAGTTTGTGTGTTTTTAGCCATCAGTTTTGGGGATTTCCTTTAGATGTCTGTCTCTGGCAATCTGTAGGCTGTCGGTAGTCTTCCGTTCTTGCATATGAGGCTTTTCATTGTCCATTTATGATCATATCAACCATAAAGAGGATAAGAGCTACGAGGGTATGGGTTGGGAAAATGCATCAGAACAAGAGAAGAGTCCCCACAAACGTTTAGTAAAACATCAGTCAATGGATGTACTTTACTCGTTTCTGTTGAGCTGCAGCTTTGTGCTAAAGCTGGCGCTGTGTAATGATGATGCCATCTGTAGTACCGATAAAACATGTGGGAATATACTGAGACAAATGTTTTATTCTGTATGTAATCATGAATACCATGGCAGGGTAGGCAGAATGTTCAAATGTGGTCGTACCATTTCTAGGCCTTAAAAGAGAGACTGCTTAACACTTTCTTCATGTTATCTCTTGAACCACTCGATAAACCTTCTGGTGCACCTCCTCTGGTCGTCGTGCTGCATATGAAATCCGATCCTCTATTTACAGAAACGTGAAATGGAACTTTCGAAGACACGCATGGAATGAGAAGTCGAGCCACCACTTGTCGTTTGAAGAGAGGTTGGAAATGATAGTTGAATTCTAATCTATGAAATGACTGGGACTGCCTGGATTACAGGTTCGACCTCAACTTCTAAAATAGGACTCGAAATCGGGTCTCTTGGCCACTCCGACACACAATCATGGGAAATAGGGAAGATGTGATCTTCAGAGCAAGGCAGGCCGCTTTCGGTCCACATGCATTACGAGACTGTTGCTGGTAGAGCAAGTTGAGTTTCCATTACTTCTGGTGGTACCGTTTTATTATTTGCTAGTCTCCTTCAAAATAGTCATTAATTCTAGAATATGTACAGAATGCGCGAAATCTAATAAAAAGCATTTACCTAATTCGAATGCCTATTTCAGATCTAGTGTCAATGAGAATGCTAATACTCAATAAAACTAATTAAAATTGGGAGTTTGGCTTAAAAAGTAAGAGAAGGACTGAGAAAAATGCAATAAAATACTAGTTTCGACAAGATTAATAGACTTCAGGTACTTACAGTTGAGGGCTCAATACTTCACTTTGTTCCAGCTCCACTCTGTAGCCCTGAAATCTGAAATGGTAAAAACGGCATCACTTAAATTATGAATTGTAATATTCTTCAGAAGAATTTTTTATGTTAATAATAATCATTTATTTTTATAGTATTACTGAGCCTTCTTCCTTAGAGCCAAAGCCAACTGAAATGTTCTGTATCTGACTACAAGAGGTAGGGATGAAGCCCAGGACCTGACCTGATTTCAGAGTTGATTTGGTCCCAAATGCTTTATATTCGTAGACTCAGTTTCTCGTAAATCTTGCTTTTTTTTCTTGTAGCATCCCTTTTCTGATCAACTTTTGACATGTTCTATTAAGAGAGTATTCTGAACTGACAGAGCAATGAGACGGATAAGTCCAAAAGCCTCGTGAAGCTAAGAGTTGTCGGTCATGGTGTTGCGAAATAGTGTTACTTATCGGAAGCTGGCGGAAATCGTGGAGGATAGGATGAACTCTCGTTTAGTCAGTTAAGCCAATTCAATCATAGCAATAGTGAAGCCTGACACCATACAATCCATGAAACTGAGTTTTCGTGAAGAAAACAAATCACACGCCAAAAGCTTGAAACATCGTGTCGACATGGTATAAAGGTAGATTAAATGAGATTGAACAAGAAGAGTGTATAATCTCGACATGTTAAGCACTATGTCACACTGCCACCAGTGCCACTGGGCTACAGGGAAGATCTGAATTTCAAGGAATATCATACATTTTCCCATATCACATTCTGTGGTGGGCTTGACTTTTGCCACAATGATATGATTAGGCCTCGCGTTTACCTAAAATTTCACATAGCCTTGCTTCCCAAAATGTATTCTTATCCAGAGTTGGCAGTTAGGCGTAGTTGATAACTAAAAAGGGTAAATATATCTCCTGTATATGAACTACTAGTGGTTTAGAAAAACAACTTTGAAACAAAAAGTTCAGGTAATGTTCATTCATATTCCATTCTTAACCATCATTTCGACTGCATAATGCCAGATACAAGTCTGGTTAATTGGATGAGTCTTGTGTGTGTGTGTGTGTGTGTGTGTGTGTGCAATTGGGAGAGAGAGAGAAAGATAGGGAGCTAAAATGTATAGAAATTATGATGGTAATTAGATTGTAGTTGTTCATCGGATATATCCAATATTGAGCCACGTCTTTGATTGAATCTATGACAATCATGAAATTCTATGCATCCCGATTCCTTTATTATCAGCGAAAAATATTAAGGATAAACCCTTCTTGAGTTTATTTAAAATAGCGTGAGCTAAGGTTGTCCTAGCATCTTTTTGAAGAAATAAATTAATTTTTTATCTGTTCTTAAAATCATCTATGTTAAGAAGGACAGATAAGAATGATACAATGATCAGATTAGTTGTGACCTCGGATCAATCAAACTATGTTATTTTTGAAAATCTCACAGAGTGAAAAAAGTCTGCCTAGATCCTGCCTTGGTTTAGACTGAATATCTACTATTGTGTATATGAAGATCAAGATTATGTAGCCTTAGGCTTGATAGCAGTCTCTTTTAGCTCTATCGTGTTGGTTTGATCTCGTTTTCGCAACTCGGCCGGAGCGGCAAGAAAACGGACCTATAAACCCTGAAAAAGTGATTTATTTCCGAAAAACAAATGAACAGAACCATAATTGTGGGGTTGTTAAAAGTCCCGACATTTACTTGTTAGATCGCTCTTGCCATGATAATGCCGGCTGCGGGGAGTAAAGGTCTAAGTCAAACGTTACAGTGTTTGCTTGAAAGAGAGTTTTGTAGAACATGAATACTGTCGTCTTTCTCTAGAATTTGTTTACAGGAATCTTTTCATAGTGTCCCGTCATACTATCAAGCCAGCATAATTGTGAATATTTAAGGATAATCAAGAAAAAGAAAGCTTAAGCTGCTTATAGAACTGACGACGATTGTAGCTGGTGCTAAATTGAGTTTAAGCATAATTTTATATTTCGAAGGATACTCAAATCCAAGTTGAAATGCTGTTTTAAACTCTCATCTTTGTCTCATCTGCAACCCCAACGAGACTCGAACTCTGGGGTTCAAGATTCAGAGTTTGTGTGTGTGTGTGAGGTATAATTGTATGAAGTCAAAGGAATAGATATGGATCTTCTTCTTCGGCAGTGCCCTGATGATCCTCCTCCTCAACTCTTCCATTATCATCGAGCAATTCACTTCTCTCCCTATGCTTGCAGTATCCACTGCCCTGTATATACCACATGCAAATTTATCATAATAATAAGACAATTTAAAGATATTTAAAAAATGTAAAACTCACTGGGAGACAAAGTTTTTAGATGATGAATCTAAAGTTTTAGTATACATTTTAGTGATATTTTCTATCTTATTCATCCTCTCTTTGATTTGAATGCTGAAACTTCCGGAGCTCTTATTTTCAACAACCTTAATCTTCTCTAAAACGATATCCTTCACAACCTCGTCGATGGGTTGAACGAAAACATTCTGGGTTGTCTCCATGTCTTTCGCTTCGCCTGGATCTTCTGTGATGGGCAGGGTTGATGTGGTCTTGACAGGTGGGTCTGCATCCTCCACCAAAGCCTCAATTTTCTCAATGAGCTTAGCTAAAGTCTCGTTGTCCAGCCTCTTTTTGAATACGATGCATGGTTCTGAAAAAATAATGATGGAAACATAACTTTATCGGTGGGCTCATCTGCAGAATGGCTTAAGGTTTGGCTGCTGCCCTATCGCAATCAAGATGCGTGTAAACCTAATCTTTCCAATAAGAAGTCTTTGGTAAAAAGGTTACATATTACAAGAGCAATTGTACTTTGTTGAATTCGAAATGGAATCGGGTGTGTTTACTGCTTTAAGTAATCACAAATATGAGATTTCCTGGGTCAAGTGAAGGTAAACTCTGTTCCAATTAAACAAAATAGGAAGGGCAGTTTCGTATCCACACATAAACACACATACAAATAGACGTAAAACTAAGTTAATCAAAGTATTCTATGCATTGAATTTAATTTTTGTTACATATTTATATTAGGTAGAGATGAGTCAACTAGTTTTTTTTGGCAATAAGTGAGTAGGTTTCGAAAGTAGGCTCGTTGGAAGCCTAAAGCTATTATTAGACTTGGGCAGAGCTGTGAAGAAGTCTTTTCAGTGCCGCGACAAAAGTAAGCCGCAATCTAAGGAGACTGTTTCGAGCATGCTGTTTCAGCATACCAAAGCGGATCGACTTCTCCTTGATGCATCAAATGGAAGATAGCTCAAGAAAAAATGTCGCATACATGCATAAAAAGGGATTTTAGACGAATATTTTGATATTTCAATGTCCACGTGACGTTCGGTTGACTTGAAAGAATTTTTATAGTCAGTCTCAACCAGATGACGATATAAGGTTACTTTATCCTTCTGCACTCTGCTTTCACTGACAAAATGATACTGACTGAGTCCCAGTTCCTGTGAACACGGATGCCATTTGATTAAAACCATGATAAATGGAATGTTTTTTATTTCATATCCAGACTTAAAATCTGGCATAAAGAGCAGCTATCTAGATCTTCTTAGCTGTACATACTGAGAACAACTTAATAGATCTCTGGAACAGAAAGAATTATGTAGTTCTTCGCTATATCTATCTATATTGAAGTAAATTAGCACATGAATCTGCCTGTATTTGCACATTCATGATATAAGGCCCCAAAAAGTTAATGGCCAAGGAGGCTCATCGGTATTATTGGAAAGACTTTATATGCCTCAGAATCTCGGAACATCATGTCTATGGCTCAAATACCGCTGGTTCAATTGATGAAAAAGTGCGTTCAGGCCGACATTCTAGCCAAGCTTGGAAACGAGAACAGACCATCGAGAGGCAAAACAAAGGACCATTTAGTGCAAACTTTAGCAATCTCTCCATTTTATCGCGGATGGCCATCAATCCTTCCAAAATGATACCAATCGGAAATAACATGTTTACGCAATGGCAGATAAAGTGACGAGCAATGTAGTTTAGATGAACAAGACACATGAGGCCTATCCTGCCGCACAGTAAAGAATGAACTCTATCAAAATTTTAGCACGTGCTCCAGACTACTATTACCACCGCTACCAGACACTACTACCGATACTACTCATATTATGATAAGCAGTATCCCCTAGCATTATCGGGCCTTAGAGGGCCACTATGAAAACTCTGTAGAGTCTTCGAAAAATTTTATCATTTCAGTTTAAGCCAAAGTTTCTGTTCCTTAGGATCATCTCAATCGGCGGTTTTATCTGATTCACCTGAGCTGTACTACTCTCTCAAAGCATAAATTTATGTAAACAAGTAGTATATACGAGGTTGTTGAATCTGCCGAGAGAGCATTGTTATTATGATGGCGTTCATTTAGTTCGGAAGTTCTTGATAAAAAGATTCGCAAGCCGATCCTACCAGAATGCTTCGTTAGAACAATGATAATCAATCATTGTTTTCTGAGGAGGCCGAATTGATAGATGCTTCATTTGGCGCTTTCATACAAAATAAAATTTAAGGAGATTCGCTGGATAGTAAAACAGACTTCCATTTGGAGTAGAATGAGTAATAAAGAAATAGGAAAGTGGATGCCACCAGACGACGATGGCGGATTCCACTTAGTCGGCTGTAGGTTGGCTTTACTGGAACATTGTTGTTGCTGCAATCTCCAAAAAAATTACCTTCGATTCCGGTGAAAACGTGCAATGTTAATGTTCGTCATGTGATGGACATAATCAGAGCAGAATATAACTTTACTACACATATTCAAGCTAACAATAAAAAATCGCATGGTTTATACCTACATGAATAAGGAAAAGGAAAAAATGAATTTATTTAGTCGAAAGACGCTGTGGCGCAAAGATAATATAGAACAAAAAGTAAAGAGTGTGGCTGAGTATGGGATATATTCAGTTAAAAGTTAATACAAATTTATTAACATTACAAAGTATTACAAAGTATACCAACATTTCAGTTCAAGAAGCAATTCAAGTTTTCGCACTTAGCTCAGATGAACTAATGGATATTATTGAAGTAGTAAATTTAAGCGAAAGTTAAATCTCAAGAAGTCTTAATCTATCCATTAATAGTACATACTCACATTTATCGTTAGGCTCTATGACCAGATACAGACACTTACAATGGGATCTTGTTTGGATCACATAAGAAAAATATTTACACACCAAGATTGAAGGGGCATTCATGAAGTTGGTAAGATTTAAACTAGAAATTTTAGTAAGATATATTCATTTATATTATAAGATTTTGTAGCATTATAAGGCTGGATTAAAAAATTTCTTGTGTTTAATTAAAAAGAGTGATAGTGAGATTAAATTCAAAGTGAAGGTGAAGAGGATAATTCCTTACTATTTTTGGATGTCAGAGTAAGAGATAATTTGGGAAGGGATGTATATTGGAAGCCAGGAAATGCGAGGTCATCTTTATCACCATTTTAAATCATATTTATTAATCGAATTTTAGTATTTTAATTAATTGATTCATGTCTTGACTTTGCTTTATTACGTTATCTTCATAAAGGCATTCAAATTGATAAGAAGACTAAGAATAAATAATGTATTAATAGGAACTATGAATCATTCTCTGATTCTGCCCACTTTAGAGAAGAATTTGATCCATTTTTCAGATTAAGCTGATTTCAAAAAAAATTAATTAACGTTAAGGAAATAATTTGAATGACACGAGCACCAATAAGAATATAAGTAAGAAATACTTATATTTAATTGATAGACTCTAGAGTGCGACACAACTAGCTTTTGCTGGTAATCGTTCCGAGTAGAATTATACTTTTATCATTTTTCACCTGTAGGTAGGCTTTCAAGATTACCATATACTTTCTATATGTCTTGGTTTACTCACTCAATCTCTCTCATTCTCTTTCAGACATTGACATAAAGCTGCATCCGACATTACGCAATCATAGTAATAGTTGAAATTGATAAAAAAAGGTGAAAATCAGTAATTTGAGATGTATTCACCCTATTTCGTCTAAGGCGATGAAGGACCGGTGGTAGAATTTTCCCACAATGATATGAGCAGAGCTGTCATTGTGGGAAAATTCTACGACCAGTCCTTCATCGCCTTAAACGAAATAGGGTGAATACATCTCATATTACTGATTTAATGGTAGTCTCGAAACCATACTTGCATAATAAAATCACTAAGCCTTGAAGATTAAGGACAGATATTGCATTTTAACCTATTCACTTAAAGCAATATTGTTTTATAATCATGGGCACACATAAACATACACATGCATATGTTTCTAGCTAAACTTATGACCTTACTTTTTACATCTAGGATATATATATAAATAAATAAATAAATAAATAAATAAATAAATAAATAAATAAATAAATAAATAAATAAATAAATAAATGAATGAATAAATAAATAAATAAATAAATAAATAAATAAATAAATAAATAAATAAATAAATAAATAAATAAAGAATGAATGAATAAATAAATAAATAAATATATATATATATATATATAAATATACATGCAATATGTATAGGTAAGCCGATGAGTCTTTTTGACTTATTAGCTTGGAAGTGGTTGCAAGATTGGTATCATGTTCTAAGGCTTTTCATTATAGAATAGACTAGCGCTTTCCACTTTTAATTTAAAATCAAAGGAGATCGCCTCGGGAATTTATTCCACAAGAATTTTTCAGTATAATCATGTGATAGCTGGCCAAGACAAATCCACCGAAGTCTTCTGTTATGACCCATCTTTAAATAGCTGATTTCAGAGAGTGATGGAACCTTTATTTGCTAATTATACATCCGGTAAGACTATCGGTGGACGTGAGTAAAAAGAGTTGGAATCTTCGGTTTAATCTGGGGATATAATATTTTTTGAAGAAGCTGTATCGGTCTTTAGGTGGCCTCTGATGGTTTGAAATTGCCAAAAAAGTACTTGTCATAATATGAGTAGTATTGTTACAAGTGTCCAGTAGTAGTGCTGTCGTTAATCTAAGGCTCGTGCTAGAAATCAGAGTTTCAACACACATAGGCACTAACAACGCTCAAACTTTCTTCACCCGTTTGACTTGCCAAGCTGTTGACAGTTATAGTTTGTCTATGGAGGAGGGAAATTCGGAGAAACTTTTGTTAAACCACTTCTTGCTTCCGATGCAAATCTGCTTGTTTAAAACCGATTCTACAGTTTCATTTTGCCTTGGACTATGTGGATGGTAGAAGAGCACATGCAGCATTGTCAGTTATCTTTGACCAAAGCTTTAGCCAATTTTAACGAAATCCCTTCTAAAACTTTGCTATTTTGTTGCTATGCCTAATGATATTTCCTGCCTACTCAAAAAGTAAGTAGGAATGAGGTTCATCGATGTTAACTATCCCTTATTTAGGCTTGAAGTAGCTACAGTTGATTGGTTCTGTTGGGTGCAAATCGAGAATGTATTTCAAGGCAAATGAGGTATCGTGCAGGCCATGCTCATGTTGAGAATGTATCGACGCTCCAACTTGTCTTTATCATCCTCTAATCCGTATGCCGACGCTTTCATTTGTTTAGACCGATTTTATCGGACTGACTCGCAAGTAAAGGAGTTGTGATGTTTTCTGCTCAAAGTCGTTCATTTAAACGATTTGTTGATTGGCGCCATTTTCTCGCTTCGCCTATCAGGGAATTAATTTCAGGATCATTGGCTTGAGTTGTCCACTCCTGTCGAACAAATGGGGCTCAGTTGACTCGTACATCCTGCCATGACTGTCAAGCGACAGTTGAACAAAACTTTTCCTGAGATTACGCGGAAAGGCGTTTTTGCCTAGGCTACGCCAAGGAGCTCCTGACCACAACCACAACGTTCTTTGTGACCAGGTGTGTCGCCGAAATTCCCGACCTTCCAGACCGCCAGCTTTCAAGGAATATTAAGTCTATGCCACTGACATCTAGAAAGTTCGGACGAAAAGTTTTCGAGGACTAGAGCCGCCCACTCTGCGGCTTCTCTTTAATCAACCAAGAAGGTTTTCCACTCAACATTTGAACATGCATCCATACAATTGTATCTTTTAGAAAAAGTCCATTGTTTTTCTGCATAAAACGTATTTATACAAATAACATTTATGGAAAGAACAATTTTGGCTTATAATTTATAATATAATATGCTATAATTATATATATATATATTTATATAGTTTTGCCCATAATTTATGTGGTTAATTGCTGAACAATATTGAACTCAGCATGTTGCAACCCAGAGGAGCTTTGGTTAACTTGTCGATTAATTTTTAAAAAAAACTGCAGTTATGTTTAATTTTATGGTACCAAATGTTTAAAAAATGCAATTTCTATGATATAACTAAATTACGGACACAATTTGAAAATAAAAATGAATGTAATGTTTAGTATGAATATTGGAAATATAAGCTTTATAAATAGAAAAACATCCTACTTAAACGCGGACAGTTGTCGTCCCATTCGGGAATAAGGTCACTATTTCGGTTCAAGGCGCCATCGACAGGGTCGGGATCACTTAAATGTCCATGACAGAATATATGTTGGGCAGGTAAGAGCCTGTGCCCGAGGAAAAAAACTACAAATAATAGGTTGAAAGCCATTCCGGGAGCGCAGAGATTATGAGCTTAAAAGTCAATTTTCTGCGCCACAGACTAAATGCTTGTTGTGCTGGACTGCCTCGATAATATTTGTATTGGATGAGAATAGGCACAGTTGTTGACAGATACCGATCAAAGTTCGATTAATGGATGAATTCATGCACAATGGACGATGACTCGCTTCACATAACCAGGCTCGTGTATACAGTCCGGCTTCATGTGTACATTTGATGTCCCGCTCTAACGTACCGTACCGTACCAATCCAAATCCAAGGTTGGCATGACGATGGGAAAATGCAACTGTATCCGTGTGCAAGTCGGCAGCTTGGCGATGAGGAGAGGCTGAAACTGCAAACACGTTGTGGACTTGAGGTTGACTCTTTGGGGTGCATTGACAAGAGAAATTCAATGCAATAATTGAGACTTTTCTTGTATTTATTTGAAGCTAAAACGCTGCAAATCCACCGAGAAACCGTTCGGAACAGGTCATGTATCAACCTTAACTGACCAAATCACTTTATACTTGATGAAAGAGGCCAGATGTAGAGTATGTATACCACTTTTTTGGGATTTGCCGGTGAGTTTTGTTGACTCATTAGCTTCAATTTTGTCATATGACGGACGAAAGCTTAGCACCTTTTCGCCGGAATCGAAGGAGATTGC